CCCCAAAACCCCAAAACCCCAAAACCCCAAAACCCCAAAACCCCAGAGGAAGAGTAAGCCACTGAATTATTCATTTCCATTTATGCTTGAATTCTGATTTTCTGCTGGACGTCCAAAGGTGTTGATCAACTGCTTTGCAAGGACGGATTTAATCTTATCATCACCAGTATCTTGACTTGAACTTTCATTGTGGATCTGGAGAGTAGCCTCATCTACAAAATCAGTCGGTCTGATTGCTAAAAGATCACATGAAATATATACATAGGTCAGTTCAGTTGTTAATCGCACTGAAGGGTCTCCTGAACTTCTTCTGGTAGCCAATCTTGATCTTATTGTTTCTTCTAGAGAGTCTACTTTTAGCCCCTCTTGTTTTGGTTTTGCCAGATCTAAGCCTGATAGCATAGTCTATATGATAAAGACGTAGTTATTACTTTTTCCGCTTCTAATTCTCCTTGATTGTTTATGTGTGTAAAAGTTTCTTGTCTCTTGTGCTAAAGATTATTCAAATTTTACTGTAGTCATTGTCATAATTGATCGAACTGCTCATCGTATCCTTCAATGGGGAATTAGTCAAGTATACAGACTCGATGTCAGATTTGTCTTCCCATAAGAAAGGGGATAACTTTTTGTCAAAGTTTTCGTAAAAGAACTTGTTGTGGTAATATCTAGAGTTACTCTAGGTGACATACTTGTTCGAGTTTTTGCTTATCTGGTTCTTGAAATATCTCTGTTTATTGTACTCTTTCTTGAGTTTATTAGTTGAGATAACTGGTTTTATATGGACTAGTTTATCAACAAACCTTCTATTCTCCCTGATTCTTTCTTTATCTTTGTTGATCCTCATGGTGGTATTAAGACTTTTGCTGTTTTTCTTTCTTTTCTTGATGTCCTTAACCTGAAATGTGGTGGTTGGCCTTTTGTTGTTGCTATAATTGAACAGAAAAAGCTTACTTTATCTCCTCTATTCTTCTGAGGAGCATCTGGTTCTGGTACATGATCTCGTTAGACCGGTCTAAATGTTATTATATTTATTTAAAGTAAGCGCTACCTATTTTTATTCTGTTTTTACGAGAATATGGACCGAGGGATTTCTCAAGTTTTGACTTTTTTGCATTATTTCAATGTAGGTCTGATATTTTTAATCCTTTCGAGATGATTTATGTGTTCCTAAAAATTACATGAGAAACTTACTTGAATCTTAGCTTGTTCATCAATGACTCTATTTGCAGTACTCCACATATTTAAAATATAAAATTAAATTTTAAATTTTTGGGACTATGCTGGGGTTTTGGGGTTTTGGGGTTTTGGGGTTTTGGGG